TGAAATAACCCCTTGGTTTGAATTTACATATAATAAAATAACAAGCATACATTATTTAACTGTGGAAGGGCATTGTTCACTTTACTAAAGTACAAGGAAATGGATAACATGAAAAGGTCTTTTGTTGGCTTGAAGGTCATAATGCCTAAACTTTCATATCTGACACATAATTAGCACATTTGTGAATTATCTGAAAAGGGCAACAGTTCCTGTGCCTCTCTACCCTACCCCCCAATCTCGTTCAGTGATATGAAACTTAGCACTCTAATTGCTTCAGTATGTATTACATTAGTTTGCACCTCACTCGCAGAAAATACCCATCTGTAAATAGAGCACTGTTTGTTTAAAGCATACGTACATATTATATATATGCACGTGTATGTTTATGTACATATATATGCATATATATGCTTGTGTGTGCATATGTGTGCATGTGTCATGTGTGTTTATACATACATACACATATTTATACTCATTCAATTCAATTTAACCGAGTACATCTTAATCCAGAGCTTAAAATTATAGATAACTATCCCCATGTTGACATTCTTTTACTTTTTCAAAATGTATTATCTTCCTCTTCTTTTCCTTTCTTAAAGTAGGCTTTCTTGTTCCAGATATTTGATGGCCATAATGTTTACTGCAAGACAATTAAGTGACTAATATAACATGGAAATTGTGCTAAATACAGTTTGCATTTATATAAGCAGAATTATTTATTTTTATAATATTTTCAAATGAAAATACAACTACAATTTTGTTTTCTACCCAAAATTTACTATTCAATTAATTATCATATTATTATTACTTCTGTCTTCATTTATACAGTGCCTGTGTGAATCTGAACTTCTCCCTTACCAGAACTATCCAATGTCGGCTCATTTAGGTAATCAAGTACTATTTCAAGACATGTGCAATTTTAGTAAAATTTTGCACAACAAGGTTTCATTTAAAATATACTGTGCATGACAATGCAAAAAAGTTAAATGTCTACTTGATCATGGTGCACAATTTTTTTGATGTGTTTTTGTATCCGATTC